CCCTCACCACCAAATCTCTGGTAGGTAGAGAGCGTGCGAATGCTCCATGATTCCTTGGAGTGCAGGTTCAAGGTTTCATATCTGTATTGCAGAGTTCTGCCCTCTGGAAGGACCCAAGCTTCTATCCTGACCGTAGGAAAATTTGGGTCGATTAAAAGCCTAGCTTTGAGGTAGGCTCTAAGCAAGTCATTTTCCTGTGCTGCAACAAGACCGTAATGAACACTCCCGAATTTGCTAGGAACTTCATCGGAGATCTGATGTTGTCCAATGAGCTCGATGCCTGGAATTGATTCGAAATCTTGCATGAAAGAGACTACATCATTCAGTATTGTTCTTCTGACTAACAGCCCCCCATGTGTGATTTCATTCGTTATTCTTCTTCTACGTTCGATAACCCGGTTGTGAAAGGCGCATGCACTGAAACTAAAGATCTCTCCATCTGAGTCCTGCCCTACATCTACAAGCAAATATGCAAGCCGGCAGGTCTCTTTGTAAACCAGTACGTGCGTCTCATCAGGCACTGCAGAGAACTCTTTTGGCTGCGGCCGGACAAAAACGAAATTACATCGACCTCGGCACTCTTCTTCCCACAACGCATTGGCCACTTCTCGAATCGAGACTTTCTGACCAGGCGCGAATTTAGAGTGTCTACTCTGTCCGCTACAACCATTCTCCAGTGCAAGCCAGAACCTAAAATCCAAATGCTGTTCGGTGAAAGGGTCGTACCCAATAGACCAGGTTAGACAAAAAATTGTCTAATAGACAATTTCTTAAAATTTGTCTATTAGATAAATTTTTGTGATTTGTCTTAGACAACTTTATGTGACGAAAAGTTATCTAATAGACAAAACAAAAGTTGTCTAATAGACAAAAATCTGCTGTCTTAGACAAATTTTCGCGGCTGCTTGAAATTTCCTCGAAACTACCTCGTCTGTTTTTCAAAACTTCCTTCAAACTTCCTTTCTTTTTGTGGCAGTTTGGAGGTAGTTTGATGGAAATTTGTAGGCAGTTTCAACCTGCAAGTGTGGAAGTTTGTCATGCACATGGACTGAAACTGCAATAATATGCAAATTTTGTAACATAAACTTCCTCATGCCTATGATGAAACTGCAAGTAAACTTCCTCAGTGCCTGTGGTAGTTTTGAGGAAGTTTTGATTTGTCTGAGACAACAAAATTGTCTCAGACACAGCCAAAAATAGTCTAAGACTGTTTCTTCAAAATAGACTTAGACAAATTTTGAAAAGTTGTCTTAGCCAAAAATCATGTTGTCTTAGGCAACAAAAAAGTTATCTAATAGACAATTTTTTTACAAAATAGATCTTAGACAAAAAATAGTCTAACCTGGTCTATTGGGTATAGGGATTGGATACCCACGTTCCCTTCGTCTTCCTCAAGTCTGTGACTTGGGTCATCCCTAAGGAAGCAAGTGTCAGGGTTGACACCCTGCGCATGTCTGCCTCCATCTAATGAATCCTCTACAACATAAGCTTCCCTATCTGTACAATGCTTATCATCCGGTCGGTCCTTCGGAAAGCAAAAACTTGGGAATCCTTGGTTGTTTGAGGCAAAATTGTAGCCTTCTTTAGTTAGCTTGTTGCTATCCTTCCCACAAGGCTGAGGGGATACGTCCTGCATGCGTTTGATCTGGACCTGGGCATCACTCTGAGGTCGTTGCCAGCTAAGTCGCGACTCTGGTTGGTCAACAATGTCGGACAAGATAGTAGCACTGACATTATCAGAGTAGTAGCCTCTGGTCTGAGCAGGACTAGCAAGACTAGGGTCGAAAAGGCTGCGTTGCTCCTGCAGCCTATGAAAGTGCCCGCTCCTGCTATTCTGGAACAGAGAAAAGTCTTCCGTCTCTGTCAGAGGGCATCTACTTTCCTGTTCGATCACTAAGTCGACTCTCTGCCATCCTTGCAGCCTGTATTGGCGTCTAATCTCATACCTACCCTCGACAAAGGCTCTGCAGACAAAACCTTGGCTGAGGCATATCTCTTGATTATTCGAGGCTTCAATAAGCTCTGTGAGGGATACGACGCTAGGGACGATCTTGGCTATGACCTGTGCACTATGCTCGTCAATAGTCCTTATAAGGATGGCTTTTTCACTCGGTGAAAGCCTACCCGGGGCCGCAATGGCCATCAGCATCGTCTCTCTTGCAAATCGAATATCGTTGAAATTCTGAGGTATGACGGCGCCTAAGGTGATTAGTTGCTCAGGAGCGAATTCGCTTCCTAATGAAGACCGAGCGTTGATGCGAAGCTGGTCTGGTGTTGGAAAGTTTGATGCATGTATACCAAAGGTCCAAATCCGTCCTGCACTAATCGTGGTATAGACTCCAATTTCAAGGGCAATGCTGGTTGTTAAACCAGTAAGTCTCAGCTGGAGTTCTAAATGCTGCTGGGTTTGCAATCAAGGTGTTTCGAACCCAAGTTCTGATGAGTTCAGGGTCTTCCTGAGGCAGTTCATTTGGCGGTGGCCTATATTGGAAAAACAAAGCTTCATCGTAAGAGGCTACGGCTGAACTACCATTCTCTTGGATGGCTGACTGGATATTCGTATAAACCCCAACTGCATGCGCGGATATGGCATTCAAGCATAGTATCAGACGTGTCAAACTGATGCTTGTCCGTCGTCTCCTGGGTTTCGAAAGTCTGCATAATCCAGAAGAACGAGCTTTCTTAATCCTCTGGAGTTTGTATTTGCGGAGCTGATCTCTGAGGGAAGCTGCTCCAGCAAGCAAAACAGCCAGTGAAAGTACTAAATAGCTGCAGGCACGGATATGCACACCGTCTTCCCCACAAATTAAACTGATGATCCAGGTCAGGTTGCAAAGCCCTCCGCCAAGAATCACAGTATATACTCTCTTGCATCGGTAAAGGAATCTTCTCCTTTCGTGCAAAATTGAACTAGGGTGCCGAGGGCCAGTTCCTAAGGAAAGCACCTGACACAACAAGCTCACCATGATGCAAAAAAGCAAAATGCTGGCACAGAGAAATGCCGTTCTAACATGTCCACTTGCAACGGTATCATGGCAAGGGGCTGCCACAGGCGGGTCTTCCCCACCAATGACGAAAATATGGGCCATTTCAACCTCTCCCATGCAAATGTTAAGTGATGCAGCTACTATAGTCTCCTCCGTGGAAAATGCCAAATCTTCCCAAAGAACATCAGGCTGGAGTAGACCGCATAGCTCTAAAGATTGCTGAGCTCTCCCGTCTTGCAATAGCAAATGTCGCAAATCTGTCCCAGGATTGCTCGTAGCATCACTGAACTTTCGATTCCATAAAACTCGGTCACTTACAGCTGCTCCAGTCGCCTTGAAAGTGGCGCCAACGGTCCTCGGCTGTAAGTGCTCATACTGACCCTCTCTCAAAGCTTGGCCTTGTCGTCCACCAAGAAGGCCGCTGCGAATTCTTGAGAGTCCTCCTGGCTTTCCCTTTTTGGGCTTCTTGACCGGAGCCTCTTGGGAACTGTGAGATCTGTTCCAAGCTTGCCTGCAGCTAGTTGGATTTGTCTCATTCTGAATTCTCTCTGTTTCTTGGCTAGGTCTGCCGGCGATGGATCCGAAGGGGATGGCAGCACAACCTCCTTGCTCTCGTTCGGCAAGACTTCCTCTGCTGAGTGCTTTGAGCTCTGAGCCAATGCAAAGGCCTGAAATTGCTGTTGCAGCCTCATCAACTGCAAATGGGTCTCTCTTTGAGCTTCCTGAGAATCTTCGAGCTGCCTTCGGAGTTCCTCCTCCACAGTCAAGGTCTCTACAGGCATGTCTCCCTCTTCTTTGGCTTCCGTGATCGCCAACTCTAGTGTCTTGATCTCGGACAGAAGCTCGCCCATCTCCTTCTCGTATGTCTTTTCTTCTTCTGTTCTGTGCTGTTCTATATAAGCCAGGAAGGCCTTGTAAGCCTCTTCTCTCTTGCTCTTGGCCACTTTTACCTTCTCCAGCTTCTGAACAAGCTTCCTTCGGTCGTTGAGGTCCTTCTGCTTCAGCTTCAACTCCTCCATGGGATCTGGAGCAATAGCTTCGGCCACCTCCTTGCTCATTCTGAGATTGTTGGTCTCCACCACATCCTTCAACAAATGCCGAAGGTGTGAATCCCCAGCAGTAACCGCCGAGGATGACGAAGAGGATCCCTGCTCCTTGGAAACAAAGTCTTTGTAACCAGGAAGCTTTGGCTCGTCTTCTTTGCCGCTCTTTTTCTTCTGCGGCTTCTCTTGCTCCTTCTGAGCTCTCGGCCATGCACCTTGCCACCATTGGCTCTTGCCCTGGCCTTTCTGCTTTCCTTTCCCTTGGGACCATCCTCCCATAGGATATATATTCTTCTTGACTGCGGCCTGTCCAGTTCGCACCGAGGAGTGATGCGCTTGAAGCAGTGCCTGTGCACGTCGAAGACGTTGCAGTGTGTCCTGAGGCAAGTGGGTTGCCTGTTTGCAAGCTCTAACCAGTTGTCGCGCTTTCGATCTGTTCGACCTCAAGCGCCTATGCCAGCTCGGGCTTCTAGCTCTATAGATCGCCACCGTTCAGCCCAAAGAGGAAGTCCGCAACCCCACCAACAACGAAACCAGCTCTATGGCTACCGACGGCGACCCGCGAGGTCGAACTCGTGAGAGTTCTGGGGCAAAGGCTACGCACGCTGTTGTGCGCCTCTGAGCCCTCGCGATGGTGCACGTGACAAAAACAAAAGGGTGTCTCTCGTGGGCAGGATGCGAGATGCATCTTCCAGTGCACAAAGTAAAAGCCCCACTGAGGACATATTTGGTTTAGGTCCCCAGCAACCTTGGCTGGTTCAAGAAGCAGGTCGGCCACTAGACTTGAATAGGCTTCAGAAAAAAAGGGAGTCCAAGCCAGAACAACAATGCAGAAGAATCCACAGGAATCCGCTGATTGCAAAGGAACCAACATAATCAACATACAAAACGTAAACTTGTGTCAAACAAACCGGAATTGAAACTCATGGGTGTTCCCCCCCACCAAAAAAACAAACAAAAACCGGGCCGCCATGGTCTTCGGAGATGATGCGTTCCTCGTGCCGACGCTGGCAGTGCCATCAAAGACCAAGCGACCTGGAGCCGTGCACATGATGCACTCCGAGATCCAAGAAATCTACAGTAAGTGTTCTGATTCATACAGATCTGGCAAATCATCCTACAAGCTCCTGTTCTTGGATACACCAAGTACTGCAACATACTGCAACCCTCCATAGTACATGTCGACAGTTCCAACTCCTCGGCTACCTTCAAGTTTCTTCACCTGCCTGGCCCAAACAACGTGGGCCGGTTGAATTGCAGAATCCCAGGTTTGCTGTTCAAAGCAAGGGATGCTTTCTCTATCTCCTGACTCCCTTGTGGTCACTTATAGCTCGGCCCGAGATTGTAGTTTGGGAGAACATGAGAACGCTATCCAATATGATTGAAAACTATATGACCACACCTACTACCAGATTCCAACAATATATATTGGTAGATGGATGTATTATACTTTGACGGTATTGATTCTCTGTGCTTTGAAAGCAGTCCATCACTGTCTTTGTCACATGCTGGTGCTGAAGGGGCTTCATGGATTGAAGGTGTATGCCCATGTCCATCCATGCAACAATGACAAAAGAAGCACAGCACCGCGCAGCACTCAGACTTTGCAAAGTTCTGCCGGGCAAGATGAGGTGCAAACAAGTTCCATGGTGTTTGTCTCTTCTTTTTCATGGCTGTTCCATGGTACAGGAACGGGTCTTCGGAACCTGCAGGCGTTCCTCTATACCTGCAGGGACCAGTTCTCCACGCATTGTTCTTGGGCACCACGCCATCGAGATGTTCCATCCAAACCTTCCGCTGCGAAGCATCTGAGCGTTCCAGAAAGCAGCGCACCGGCTGCAAATGGCCCACCTGTCCGTGGGTGTGTGGTACAAACACAAGGGTTTTATATAGCTTTTGGAGGGCTAACATACTAGTAGCATCCTGCATCCTTGCTACTAGCAGTGATGCACCTTGCTAGTAGTAGCTTATAGCTACTAGTAGTAATGCCCTTGTTACTAGTAGCTTTAAGGTCATCATTATTTGAGGCTGTTCAAGACGCTGGGCAAATGGCTGAACCAATGCGCCCTGTTCAGACCCTCCAAGGCGCGACACCTTTGCGAACGGGCGATGCAACGAGTCGTTTGGGGGGGCGATGCAACGACTCGTTGCATGGTACCCATTGGTACTTACCATATCTTACTACCTCTCATGCTGTTTGAGTTTCGGGACTTGTACTCTTAGGTCAGAGATCCTCAGGCTTGGCTCAACTTCCGTTCCAGACCGATTTAAACTCCAAGCAGGATGCGTTTCAACGTGCTTAGCTCCGCTCCCCCAGACCGCACCATGTTCACAAAGTGCACCGAGATGGAGCCCGTCTCGAACCAAGCTGGGCCAAAGGCCTGGCTGGGTGTAGGATAGCTAGTTGAACAACTCAGTATTGTTGCTGGTTGGTGGACAAAGCAATACAGGGAAGAGAGATGAAGAGAGTACTGATTGTTGTCCCCGGCTACACATGGGTGTTGAAGTGGCTCGTGAAGGATCCATTTCTCGCATCAATGATCATCTGACCCGTCACATGGAGGCATATAAATATCTGGTTCCTAATACTGCAAGGGTGCAACGTGCATATGCGAAGCTGTGTGTGGTCTATGATATAGGTGAGCTTCTCAGAAAACAAAAACCCAAGCAGGTTCCAGCTCGTCCGGTCCTACCTGGACACAAGGGTTTGTGATGTTGCGAGACAAAATGTTCAGAATAGATTGGAAAATAGATTCCTCTATGGAGACTTTCATTTGCTCGCCACACCAATGCCTCCAAGAGTAGAGGCGTAAGCTGTGACCAATGCACCGTGCCATGGATGGGCGCCAGCTTTAAGCCCACCTGATCTGCATGGAGCATGGAAGAAGCAGGATGGGCTACAAAAGTCCTTGAACTAGAAAGCTCAGTTCCAAGGAAAACCCAAAGGCATCCAAAGGCAGAACGAGGCAGACCGCATCCCTGCTTCCTTCCTAGTGCAGTGTAGTGCAACTACCATAGAAACCACACTGCTTCTACCGCCATCTTCAGCTCTTCCGCCATCACCCCCACCTGGGCGGCCGTCGCATCGTCATGAATGGCCTTATGCCCTCCACCGACCACTTGCTCCTCGCCAAGGTTGGGTGAGTCCATGGGCTCAATGAAGAGGGATTGGTAGAGGCCTCCTTTGAGGCTCCAGACCCCACAACTGCAAAGGTGCTCCAGGAGGTTTGAATGATGGTATTCCTTTCCTAGTGTTCCTCGAAATTTCTGGGGACGACTCTGGTCTTCTTGTGAAACACACTTCACAGTCTTGAATCAGCAGGACGCAACATTTACTAATACTTACCTATTGTGTCTCGAGAGTTTTGTTTTGACTGACCCATCATAGACTCCCAGAGAACAATGGAGAACAAAAACAACTCGGGCCTGAAATCCGCGACATGAAGATTCTTTACCTCACAGTGCAATGTTCTTCTAAATGTCAATCTCGCTCAAGATCCACAAAGCAAAATATACATATTGATTTACATTGGAGGTGGGGGTATACTACACCAAACCATACTTTAATAGGGTCAATGAACAAACCTCCCCCATTTGCACACACGAGTTTCAGTGAGAGTCTCTTTCCTGTTCCACTCAACGAATCATCACCATTCAAACAAACATCTGGGAGATTTGCCAATCTCTAACTTATCTCAACCAACCAACTGACCAACTAACCGACCAACCAAGCGACCAACCTCTCATAGCCTCTCGTCTTGGTTTGCCCATCTCCACTCACCTCTCCACTCGACCGCTGAGCCTGCAGATCGTTGGGTGGCCGCCGCCAAGCGCCCAGCAAGCAAGGCACGTCCGGGCGATGCTTGCTCATTGGAGAGAAAGAGTATATGTCCTCGTCTGACAGCTGAGTCCTCTATGCAAATACTGTACATTCATTTCTTGCGATGCATATGCATATATGTTTGGCTCTAGAAAGGGATAGCATATACATCAAATCCAGTGCAACTGACCAGTGGTTCAGCTTCCACAAATATCTTGATGCTATTGAAGTACAATAGCTCCAAAGAATTTGAGCTGAACAAAGCTTGGCGAGAATACGTATAGAAGGCTGTGTTCCAAGCCTCTCTCAAGGTCGGCTTTCAGTCCAAATACTCAACAGACATATCACACCTATGCTTGCTTGTCTTGAAATTCTTGTTTCAAACACAACTTGTACTGTTGTGATCTTAAGATGCAAAGGAAAGCGCCGTAAAAATCCACATGTCGTTCTGTGTTCAGCAATCGCTCCGCTTTTGCATTTTGTCACAGCTTTGATCTTGCTTGGGACGAACCATCACGCCAACTGGCTGTGCTTCGGAAGGCGTACGCTGCCTGTCATAGGGCCATGGCGACCCCAGCGATTGCCGCGATTGAAACCGGAGGACTCAGTGACGCGCCCCCAGTAGACTGAGGTGTGGTTAGGGGATGAAGAAAACACTACTAGCGATGGCCTCCAACCTACTAGCGATGGTCTCCAACCTACTAGCACTGGCCTCCAACCTACTGACTAGCTAGGGAGAAACGGGGAATAAAAGAAAGGTTTCTGTAGAATGGCCAACAAGTTTCAAGCCGCATGTGTGCGAAGACGGTCATCGGGGGGTCCTTTCGAGGGGGGGTGCTGGTGCCTGATGCCCGATGGGACTCCACACAAACCGAATTCAAGTGCACAGGTTCCCCTGACGAAGTTGATACAAGTGCTGAATCGGCTACTATTCTGCAAAGGAAGCTTCTCGTTGCCACATGGAAGACAAGTGGTCACAATTCACAGAAAACCCTCTATATAAGAGTTATTTCAGGGGTCAACTCTTGAACATGTCATTGTCCTCTGCCTAGCGTGTCCCCTGTTGGTGAGTGGCATTTCGCTATGGATACTCTTTGATTTATTCGTGACAGCATGCTTTGAGTATTGACAACCAAAATAGACTACACGACCACAACCTTCAAGCACAAGTTGTTGGATGGATGTCGGCCCACCACATTAATCTCTTCATGGTGTGGGGTGGCAAACTGAACGATACAAGAACAACTGCTTCAAAACAACTTCGCTCCTGCCGCTCCACTGCCGGTAGACAAATACAGGAAGACCAGTTTGAAGAAACCAATGGGGCAGGATGGGGCAAATGAGGGAAATTCGGAAACACATGGATCATATAAACATGATTAAACAGTGACAAAGTAGAACAACTATACCTTCTGAACGCCGGGAAACCTCAACCTTTCTTCTCAATCTTTCTCATCCTGCCAAACCCATCAAACACACCTGCAATCCGATCAAATCTTCCTCAATCTCCTCGCCTCCATGCCCTCCCAGCTGCGATCCACCGCTTGGGCGGCGTCCGCCTCCAAGGCTTTGGACTCTTGAGTGCCTCGGCCACAGCATTGGAACAGGAGAAAGCGATGGAAAAAGCGGTTCCACAAGCTGGTAGTCTTATCAGTACCTTGGGATGCTTCAGCTATCTCAGGGTTGGATGATGGATGTGTGTTTTTTTGTCCACAACCAGTTCGCCACGATTAGGTGCCAATGCACACATTCTAGGCCGATTGGAACTTGAAGGAGAATCTCCCACGACCCTTGCGGGTCATGTTCCCATGGTCATAGCATGTCATAGCCATGAGCGCCGCAAGAGATCCTGCTCCACCCATTGGACGGTGGGTCGTTCGACCTCAGTCCTGCTTGGCGAACACAAAACATGGTGTCGACTCGACAACTGTTCATCGTATCACAAGAATGGCAAAGTATAGGTTCTGACCCGTCCACAAACGGGAGTTAACAACAAAAAACATGAGTTCACAAGCTCATGACCCATGGTATACCATGCTCCTGAGCTGTGTTGAGATCTCTCCGAGGTGCTATGAATCTCAATGTAGAGCCTGGCAGGATGTCCAGTCAGGTCCAGGTGGAACATACCATGGGATATGTCAAAGCCACAGGAACCCCTATCGACCTGTCGTGCTCTGTGGTGGTTGAAGAAGGAACAGGGCTGCTAGACCACTGCTAGGCCATGCAAATGTATTTCTTGAGTTTGTGTTTGATCCACCTGAACAGTTTGAGCGACTTGGAATCCAAACTTCTTCGACCCAAAGTGTCCCGCTGACCTCTGCACTGTTTGAAAGTTGAACCGTCCCCAGTGGGTCGAGTCCCTTTCACCAGCAAGCACAGGTCAAACAGGCAGGATAAATGAGAAGAAACATGAAAAAACGTGAACCGCAAACTCGACCCCCCTTGACAAAAGCAAATGTCTTGTCAAGGCGGCATCCTGTGGGGAGCAAATTCGTGGCATCCTGGTTTCATGGCGAAGACCATTCGAGGGAACCGTGGGCTCCGACTTTCTGGGAGCCCCTCATAGCAATGAAGTCCCAGTTAGCGCTATATGACATATGAGGTACAGTCAAGTGTTCATTTTGTGCAGCTGTCACATCCTCGTTGTGTCTGAAACCATGTCTTGGAACCGTATGAGCCAGGGTATCCTTTCTTTCTGTGAGTTCCGTATCGTTCGCCAGGGTTTGGAGCATGGCATATGACTGCAACGGTTCCTATGCAATCGTAATTAGATGTCGCAACATGTTGAAGGAACTTCATATGAAACGTGATGTTCCTATAGATCTTGGAACTGTTGCTTGATGTTGCTTGCATTCTGGGACATATGCCAGCATCCTCCAACAATTGGTTTCGGTTTCACACACAGGATTCACTGAGGTTACAAGTTGTTTCAAGCGATTGAATCCTGAGGAAATCGGCATATTTTATGTTCTTTGGTAGTGGGTCACTGCAAGCCCACCTCGGCGCCAAATCCAGCTGCCGGACGAAGCCGCGAAAGCCCTGAGCCAAAGAAACTGATGATTGGGGTCACTTCATCTGGTCTGGCAGATTCTGACAGTTTGGGTCACCATATTGAACCCATAGAAATGGAAGATGATAGAAGGGGTGATGTCTCTGTGTTGGCTAGAAAAGTTATGAAAAGTGAGCCACCCTTAAACATGGGATACTGTAATTTCAAAAACATGAGCATATGGATACCGCCTGAAGGTTTGCAAAGATCTGTGGTACTCCCGCAGTCTGTGGGCGAGCGCTAAAATGATCGTCTCTCTTCCGCAAGTTGTGGGACTAGAGTATGAGGGCTGTTGTCAGCCTCAAGCGCGCCACAGAAGCACATGACCACCAAAGCAATGGAGTTACTGGAGTGGTCGACATACATCTGGTTTGCCAAATGTACATGCCAGCTCGGAGCAGCTCAAGCCAGGAGCACCCCAAAAAACAGCGACGGCCATCTCGAAGCCCATACAACCCATCCATCCATCCCATCCATCCCCTCTCCAGCCTGCCTCCAGCTCTGCTCGCCTGACCTCCTCCAGCTTCTTCTGCCGCCGCCCGAAGTCATAGCGCCGCCGTGACAGCTCGGCCCAGTGCCCTGACCGGTCGACCGGCGCGTGGACCGATACCTGAGGGGACGTGTAAAGGAAGCGTCGTCAGATTGACAGATTTCGGGTGATTTTGGAGGTTTGGTGGGGGGTTGAGACAACGTGAGTCTGAGTTTCTTCCATTGGTGGGGGATTAAATAGAGTCTTGGTAGGAAAAGTGCAACGTGTGCTCCTCCAACGTCCAAGTTTGGTGGGGTTGGGCAATGGCTGCAAAGGGAGGCTGGTGAATGGAGTTGAAAAAAGTGAACCCAGGAGGTCACCTGCTGGAGTGGATGATGAGAGGGTGTGATCATCTACCGCATGCACTTTGTAACCTACCTAACACATCTAAGACGAACTCTAAGGTGGAATAGCTGGCCCCAAGGCCGACATCTTTTCTTCCAATGACCACCACTATGTCACCACTTATCAAAAACTCCACAGGCTGGCAGAAGGATCATTTATGTCTCTTCAGCTATGAGTTGGATTGTGGTTTCACGTCCCAGCTACTACCAGCATCTACCAGCTCCTTCAAACTGATATCTGTGGGATTTTGTGGGGCTTCTTTGGTCATCTTGAGGAGAAAAAGAAACTACAAGTTCCAGTGATGTGGACCGCTGTATTCCTTCATTGAGCTTCGGCCAATACGTATGATTCACCCTCTATGTCGTATCAAGTTCTTACGCTGGTGCTTGCGCGTTGTTTACGCAACCACAGTTTTAGCTTACGTGAGGCCTTGGTTAACAAAAGTCCTACGCTAAGCTTACGCCATGAGACAATTATGATTCCGAAAGGTTCCCCCAAAGGATTTGCTTACGCAGCAATACATGTTGTTCTTCATGTTCTTGTAAAGAACAGCACATACGCACACCTTACACAACACGTGTGTTCAACATGGAGCTTACGCAACCTTACGCATCACAATGTTTTCCATACGCCACAGATTGATATAACATAGATTAATGGAATGCCAAGGGAGGTTTTGGCTATTGCTCAATTGAAGTCACTTCGTAGCTCTCGAGTACCGATTAGAACAGCACTCGAAGATATTCGATGTGAACCCCTTTTCCGTCCTTGACCAATTGCAGAATCAGAATGGCTTTAGACTCCCGTAGCTTGAGGTACGACGATAAGTAGAGTCTTGGAGCCATTAACTTGGACGGACATTTCCCCCAGCACCGGCCAAGAGGCTAGAAAACTCCTCTCTGAGGTTCTTGGGAGCCTTCCATCAGCACGTGCGCGAGGCAACTGCCCACGTGGCGCAAGCGCAATCCGATGTGCTGTCTAACTACCATCCATCCAACATCCTCCTGTTCATCTATCCAAACCATCCAAGGCCATGCAGAAGTGGGAACCGGTGGACTCATCCAACATCAGCCACGGTGACCCACCCCCCCATCCTTATCTCCATCCCGGGACCCGTGCTACTCGTTCGAGACAAATTCCACCCAGTGGACCCAAGTTGAAGAGGATCAAAACCAATCACCTTCAAAACCATCCAAGGTATATATTTATGTATTATATATACTATATGTTTATATAATTTTATATCTATAACATCCCAAAGAAGCTGATTCAATCTGCACCCAACATGCAGACTGTTCCTCCAACCTCCCCATCCCCTATCCTCTGCCAAGATCGAGGCCAAGCCCTCTTTCTGTCGATGAAACTCTTCCTCCTCCAACTCCTCTTGGGCTCAAAGCGCATCCCCGGTCACTGCCACTGCTTCCAAAGCAGTTCCGAAAGACGCATTTGGGGAAACAAAACCAAGGACATGTTAATGTTGACCTTTGATTTATAAACGACCCTAGAATAATGTCACTTTTTTTCCTGCACAGATTTATAAAGGCCCCCAGAATAATGTCTTTTTTTTTGGGAGGGGTAGTTGTAGTGGGATATTTGTTATTGTTATAGTTTTCTTTTTCCCTTTTGAGTTTGCTGGGATTTGCTTATCTTACAGGCTTTTGGATTGAGATTTCTATCAAACATTTGGAGATTTCCATTGAGATTTGATGCTTTTGGAGGCTTTTGGATGGAGATTTCTATTGAAAATTTGAAGATTTCCATTGAGATTTGATGCGCACTTTCTTTATAAAATCCCTTATTCAAAAGTATTGAAAAACAAAAAAAATCATTCAAGCAAAGGGGGTAGTCCAGCAAGCAGCTTTCT